AAAAAAAAAAAAAAAAAAAAAAAAAAAAAACACCCACATACACACAAGCAAATGACCCAACAAGCAAAAACAAACAACAAAAAAACAGACAAACAACCAAGCAAACAACCAAGCAAACAAACAAACAAACAAACAGTCCAACGTTCAAACATATGCACATGCATGAACTTACACGCATACAGGAACACGCCCCATAACATTTCAAACGTTTGATTGCATTACCATAGAGCGCTACAGCATCTTGAACTTTCCATGAAATTAAAATACACGCACATGCATACAGCATACCGTTCTGCACCTATAACATCTTGAACCTTCTGTGCAATCACACGAGAGCGAATACACCACCAAGTGAAACCTATAACATCTTGAACCTTCTGTGCAATCACACGAGAGCGAATACACCACCAAGTGAAAAATTGTAAGCCACCCCGAAAGGACGAGAGAAAAAGCGGAAAGACCTGAAGCCAGGGAAATGGTAGACGAAAAATACCAGAGAGTGGGACGTGCCTTGAGCACTTCTGAAATCATCATGAGTAACCCACAGGTGAATTGTGGTTGCTGCTGAAATGCCACCTGTAATGCAAAAGACGTACATCAGGCAAACGTGCACCTTGTCAGGTGGTCCGAGCAAGCCGCTCAACCTCAGGCGAGCAGAAGCCTATTAGGACACCATGACTCTGTTGCTCTTGGATCTATGGCCATGGGGAATATGGTTACCATTCCTTCAGTGTCATCGTCGTCTCCTTCACCATGATGGCGGTTCACACCATAGTCGCCATCATCGTTGAGGTCCCTGTAACCACTATTGTTCACAGGAAAACTATCATCAGCCATCATCCTCATCCTCCTCATCACCATTATGAAGCCCACAGCATTACAGATCGAGGTGAGCTGAAAATAAACAACTGATAGGACTGACGGCTGAGATGTACGGACAGCACGCGAGTATTCGGTATACTAATAAAGCATCAGCTAAACGAAAAGAGAGAGACAAAACATCACCTTGCCTATTCTGCCATACCTGGGAATCGAAATAAGCGCATCTAACAGCGAGCTTCAGCCAAAAAAAAAAAAAACATCGCCACAGAAAGCAATAAACATCACTGATGATCTCAGCTTTCCAAGGCATGCAAACAAGATGGACAATAGCACACAAGAGGGAGAAGCCAAATTCTTCTCACGAACTTTTAGGATTGGCATGCACACTACACGGACAATACGGGCAATGGAACACGGGAGAGAGAGAAGATGCATTTTTTTCATGAACTTGTAGAATCGCAAAGCAATGAATTACATGAAATGCAAGGATGGTAAGCACAGCCAATCAAGGAATTGTGGCAGTAGTTTTCTCCATACTTGCAAGCAGACGGACCGGACGAGCGTCCGGTTCGGTCCGCTTTGCCGCGTGCGGCACCCTCCGCCCGGACCAGACGGACCCGGACCGGACCGGACGGGGGCGTTGTTTTTTTTTTTGGGGGGTGGGTGGGGCGTAACTGGTCGTCGGGCGCACATTCCTGCACCGCACGGGTCCGGTCCGGCGGTCTGCCGCATGTGCGGAACCGCCCGGACGGCGTCACCTTGCAAGTATGGTTTTCTCCCTTTCCTATCTCATTCACAGTCTGCTTACACACCCCAACGTTTCACTATCAGTTACACAATAGAACAATTTCCCAAACAGGAACCAAAAAAACAAAACAAAAAAAAAGGACCGTGGATCTGTCCTCTGTTCGCATGTGTCATGAACTCCTACATGCTGACCACATTGGATTACAAGACAACACTCGATCAGAATCATTAAAATGCGTTGAATGCACAGACGACACACCCCAACATTTCACTAT